TTGCATATTGCAGTAACACTGGTGAATTAGTAGTTTACCAGCTGCTTAGAATATTGCAGTAACACTGGTGAATTAGTAGTTTACCAGCTGCTTAGAATATTGCAGTAACACTGGTGAATTAGTGGCTTACCAGCTGCTTAGAATATTGCAGTAACACTGGTGAATTAGTGGTTTACCAGCTGCTTAGAATATTGCAGTAACACTGGTGAATTAGTGGTTTACCAGCTGCTTAGAATATTGCAGTAACACTGGTGAATTAGTAGTTTATCAGTTGCTTAGAATATTGCAGTAACACTGGTAAATTAGTAGTTTACCAGAATATTCGTGTTAAGTTACAATTTAACGCGCAATCATTAGAAAATTTTACTCAACTTAAATCACAAGTAAATTACTCGAAATATAAGCGTTAGTGTTTTTCACAAGAAAAGCTATAATATTTTGAAAGTGTTATTTCAATTATTCTTACAGCCTTATTTGTATTTATAATATAAGGGTTGTGGTTTATTTTGCTGTAACCTTTATTGGTTAGGCCTAATTATACATAAAATTTAGGTTTAACATTAACTTAAATTGTATTTGTATTTTACCATAAGTTTCTTGAAGTTATAACAATGGCCAATTTGCCGAATAAAGACATGTGTACTTCATAAGAGATAGCCAAATATTTATATTTTGCAATATGTTTAAAAATGTTTGTAACTATGTACTGTTCCGTTATTTCTTAACAATTCGGAAAGTAATACAACATTGCAGTTCAAACTGAGCTATGTTATATATGAGTTTGCGTATACGAATTAGGAGTTACGTAGTAGACCGAGTTTCATTTCTTACCAAACAGGAGGAGGTGTGGCTAAATGTATTGACGTTAAAACTAGAGACCAAACTTAGTGGGCTGATCATTTGTTGTAATTACCGTCTGACGTCATCAGCTTCCTTGGACATTTCTGTATACGATAGGCCATTCACTTCTACGTTGTTGTAAAATATGAACAGTAGAACGACACAACATTGTTAACTTGTTGCCATTTCACTAAACTATTATTGTGCTTATTCTTTCATTCTGTATTTTTCAGGTGATACTGTAGAGAAGCCACGCGACAGAAATAAATCAACATCGTAAGTTTTCCTGTGTTTTAATTAACATTTTAGAACCTAATTGATAGGTTATTGTAAGGCAGATATTGCAAAGTTCCGTTGATAGTCTTTCCTCGTGCATAAGAGTCATAAATCGTTGATTGTCAAGTTTCTTACATGTATTTGTAGGCAACGATTTGTTTAGGAATATTGGATAAATAATAAAAAAAATAAGCGTGTTGTTTTTAGTTGCCCCTTACTCGCCCTAGTGAACCAATATTTCTATGATGTACCAATTTCTACATTATTCAGCATTTGAGGACCTTGATCAGAAATGTTTTTTTAGAATTTCTTCTTAGGTGTTTAAGATTGGTTTAGCAATCACAACAACAAAATTTTCAAACCATACGGGAATGGTGTTTCATTTATGTTCATTGGCTTTTGTGATAATGGAGTAAATGGTGTTTCATTCGTGTTCATTGACTGTTGTGATAGTGTAATAAATGGTGTTTTATTCG